AGAGCCGCCACCTCCGGGCCTCGAGGAGCAACAGGCGACCTCAGCCGTGCAGGCCGCAGCGTCTCACGGCCGAGCTCGGGAAGGTCCCCACGCCCAAAGGTGAGTCCCGGGGTCCTCGGGAATCTGTTGGGGACACACAGCTGACCGTCCGCGGACCCGCCTAGCGCCCAGCCAGGGGCTGGGGGAGCCGCGCCGCGCCGGCCTCCCGCCTTCCCGCCGCGCTCCGCCTTCCCCGGGCCTCCGGACGCCAGGCCCGACCCGACGGCCGTGTCCGCACCGACCGCCCCACAGGGCCCCAGCCTCGCAGCCTGCGGAAGCCTGGGCTTGGAGGGTCACGTGGGGGTGGTCTGCGCCCACAGAGTCTGGAGGAAGCTGCGAGAAGCCGGAGCCCCCGCGACCGGTGGGCGCGGCCCGGCCTGCGGCTGGTGCCCATCCAGGCCGGGGTCCCCCAGATCCGCGCAGGGGAGCAAGCTAGCGTGGAGAGGCCCCCCTTCCTCCTCGGCTTCCTCCAGCCTGCAAAGGACCCGCATGGCTCCCCTAAGTACATGCAAGGCCCGCACCCCAAGACCCCTCCGTCCCGGGGACCCCGTACCCCGTCCTCCCTGCAGTTCCCGCGATCGCCAGCAGAGGGCGGCGCTGCTCCGGCTCCGCCGCGGCCTCGCTCCGCAGAAGGGGCGGGGCTGCCGCTGGGGTGAGTCATGTGACTGCCGCCCGGCCGGGGAGGCGGGGGGACGGAGGAAGGGGCGGGGCCTGCGCAAGTCGTATTTGAGCGGTGGGCGCGGGCGGCCTCAGTTTGACTATGTCCGGCACCGGCGCCGGCGGCTCTCGCCCGTCATCCCAGCCGCTCAGGAGGCTGAGATCTGAGGATCGCGGTTCAAAGCCAGCCCGGGCAGGACAGTCGGTGGGACTCTTATCTCCAATAAACCCCCAGAAAACCGGAAGCGGCGCAGTGGCCCAAGTGGTAGAGCCCCAAACCAGCCAACAGACCCATCCAAACCATTTTCCTCCTTCCCTCTCTCCTTCCTCGCTCTCTGCGGTTCGGCTGCGTGTGTGATGTCTGGAACCGTGGCAGCCCTGTTAAGATCATGAGGAGGAAGCGGCGGCGCTGGCGGGGGCGCTGGCGTGGCCCAGCCTTCCCGCGCCCCGCGCCCCTCCTCCAGGCCCTGCCCGCGTGGGCCTGCATTGTGCAAATGTTTTCCATAAAGGGCCCCGGAGTTGATATTTCAAGTTTGGCAAGCCATATGGCTCTGGGAACGACTCAGACGTGTTGGCAAGTGGGGCGACTGTGCTCTGCGCTTCCTCCTCACGCAGGGCTCGCGGCCGG